AACAAATAAATAAACATCATTGATCAGTTAATAATTTCAATTATTTAATTCATTATTCATAATTTTCTAAATTATAATAATTAAAAATAGAATTTCAATTATTTAACTTAGAATGATAAATAATTAAATAATCATTGTTGACCAATTAATAAACCTCTTTTCAAATGTTTATTTCATTATTCATAAATCTTTAAATTATATAATAACCGAAAATAGATTCCAATTATTTAAATTTAAGATAATAAATAATTAATAAACATTGTTTGATCATTGATCGATTAATAAATTCAGCGTTCAAAAATAAACAGCTCTCGACCTGAAAAAGTTATGAATTTTTAAAAATCAATAGATCAAAACACTTGCAATGTAATGATGCAGATGGGAGATGGTATCTTAGGTCAAAATTTGGGGTACAACAACCCCTTCAGATCCACTTCCCTTCGAATTTGCTCTCTTTGATAGCTTCAAAGTCCCAAATCGAATTACTCCAACTTCAATTGCATAACCCCTTCGATTGAGCCTCCCTCTGCTTCGATTGCTTGATTCGAAAAGGATCACCCTGGTCGAATCAACTCTTGTAGGGTTGGGAGCAAACAAGGCAAGGATCTGGCCTTTAATTCAAATAATTGAGTCCACAATCAGCATTTAATTATTTCTATATTTGCAAGGGACACATGCCATTGTGAACTTTGGGTGAACCTGTACAGGTTAGGATATGTGTTTTTGCTTAGTCATGCCAGCCTACTTCATTCCTTCGAATCTGCCTTCTTTGTCAGATTCAAAGTCCAATTCGAATCTATTTAGAACATTCCCTATTAGACAACTTTGACCAGCCCTTGGCCTTGTGATGAGTCTAAGTTCTGATTCGAAGTGTTCAGAACTTCCTTTATCAGAGCATCTTAGATTAAGAGAAACTCTGCACTGAAATGCCATTCGAAGGTCATTTCGTTCTGATGTTCTTATTAAGGGAAACTCTGAAGTTCCAGTCGAAGGACACTCTGAAGTTCCAGTCCAAGGACCTTTTGAAATGCCAATTTAAGGGTATTTGTCCATATACCAATCAAAGGGTACTTGTTAAAATTCCAATCGAAAGACACTGCTATAATACCAATCGAAAGATACTTGTTATCCTGCCAATCGAAGGACACTGTTACAGTGCCAATCGAAGGACACTTTTATAATGCCAATCGAAAGGTGCTTATTAAAATGCCAATCGAAGACTTGCGAACCAAAGCTTGATCGAAGGGTTCCAAACACCTAATCGAAGCTTACTAATCAAAGCCCGATCGAAGAGTGTCAAATGCCCAATCGAAGACTGATGAGTCAAGCCTGTATCGAAGTATTTTGGATACCCAATCGAAGACTTTTCCGAGATGCCAATCGAAAGACACTTTGTTCATCTTCAAAAAAACTTTATTTTCGTTAGGCAAGTGTTTGTGACCAACCATGTAAGGGAAGACCTTTGAAAACATGAGAGAGCAAATTTTAGGGTACAACAGTAGGCAACAAAGGACTAGATCATCTTTTTGTAGGCAACTCGAGGGACATCGTGGGATTATGATCTTTATTTGAAGGGACTATGATAATTTAATCGAGGGTCTTTGCTAAAGTACCCTTACTTTTGAGGGACATGACCATTTATCCGAAGGCAACAAGAGGAGGTTGCCCTAGAGGTGCAAAGTGTGCGAAGGTGATTCAGTTCAATTATATTATCTTGGATTAGGGTTTTCTAACGTCTTATTTTAGATCTTGCCATACAAACCCTATTAGCATACATCTAACGGTTATATATATACAGGTATATAAAATATAAGTGCGAAAAGTAAAGTCCTTGAACTATTACATGACTTCGGGGCCGTTAGATGATAAAGGAATTATGTGGTATTTTAAACTAGGTTATTACAAAATTTATACATCCTATACAATTTGTCTAATACAATAAATAGTAGAATAAAATAAAATGTTAAAAATAATTCAATATTCAAAACATCTAAATGTCCTATTTTAATTTATTTTTTTGTATTTTTTTTATTGATTTTAAGTGTTAAAAAAAAACCTAATGTCTAATTTATTTATAAGTTAATTAAAAATAAATCCTAAATCTAATTAATTTAATTAGGAGGTTATGTCAAAAATTGCATTAATTAATGAAAACCTAAAAAAACTATTTTATTTTTTATTTTTTTTATGTATAAGTTTTGATTATAAAAAAAGTTAATTAATAATAAATAACTAATAAAAAAAAGAAAAATGAAGAAAATAAAGCAAAAAAGGGTTTTGGCATCGTTGGGGTTCGAATCCCCTCCCTTCTCTTCACACGCTTGGTTCCTTACCATTTGGCCATCCCTTGTTTCCCGTTATACAAACACAAACAAAACATTATATAATAAAAAGAATACTGAAATCAGAGAATACAAAAAAATACGTATGAGTGGAGTCCATACATTTGAATGGACGAATAAAGAGGATCCATGCAAGTCCTTGGTTGCACCGGCCACCACACACGGAGGAGAAGCATTATCGTCCTATATCATGAGGTTCAAAGCTTCACCGTGACTATGCCTTAGTAATGGCAATTCACAATTCACGCGCTCAACCTTGCATGCTTTGGCTCAAACCTATTCTAATCATCCTGAAGAATATGTTTAGACACACAAAAACAGTTAAGCATGCATAAAATAATAGATTTGAATTTCAAAACCATACCCAATCGATGAGTGTGAGTATGCTGATCTTGAACATGGAACTGCTTGGTTCTTGATCTGGGTGTGTTCCTAGGAATGTCAGGATGATGGTTCAGTCCTTGGTTTAGACTGAAAATCATTGGAATATAGAGTTCGAATATGCCCTAATTCTTGAATTTTTTGGTGATTTTTTGAACTAGCTTTTGAGGCAGAATTTTGTGTTCTCTCTCTTCACTGATGATGTCCTCTATTTATAAGCATCATATTATGTCAACAAAAATGAATGGCAATCATGAGGAGTTAAGTGCTAATCAAACATGATAAAACATGCTTCCAAATTTGAATATTCTTGCCATATTTGAATTCACACGGTTTTGGCAAGTTGGATATGTGATCTTGGGCTTCAAAATGTTCCAAAACAAAAGCCCATATGCCTTGGTCCATTAATTTATTATTTTATTTGATTTATTTTGTCTTTAAATGAATAAAAATCAAAATAAAAGATAATGCATGAATGGACTTATGGGTCCTTAAACATGTCATGAACACGTTTGAACCTAAAAACTTAGACTCATTAGTCCAAAAATACATTTTGCTCAAAGTGGACTTCATGCATTTCTAAAAAATTGCTAAATTTGAACCAATCATATCTCACTCAATTTTCATAATATGAAGGTGATCTTTGACTTTTTGAAAACCTCAAGATGTCTCTTACAACTTTCACTTTGGTCATTTTTCCATTTAAAGATTTTAACTTGATTGCGTAATTTTCTCCGAAACATGATTATTTATATATTTTTATTTCAAAATCTAATTATTACTAAAAAAAAAAATATATATATATATATATATATATATATATATATATATATATATATATATATATATATATATATATATATATATATATATATATATATATATATATATATATATATATATATATATATATATATATATATATATATATATATATAAGACGAAGAATGACATAATTTTACGTAGTGTGTGGAAAGAGCATTATTCTGGAATAATTCCTGCGAGGCTCAAGAAAATACCTCAATTGTCTATACTACTGTGCATCTCTTTAATATTTTAGTGTATCATCTAAGAAATCTTAAAATGAGTTTAGGAAGCCTATGATAACTTAAATGTTTGATTTTATTCATACATTATGTAGCTTTTTGCCTAAGTCTAAGAGTGTTGCAAGTTGAGCTCCAAATATTTTTAGACCTTAAATTCATACTTTTATTAATTTTAAACTCATATAAAATTATATAATCTTTCAAAATAAAATTAAAAAAATAGATGTCATAATTTTAAAATCTGTTGTTAAGACTATGAAAGGAAATTTAATTTTTAACTTTTAACTTATACATAAATAAAAAACTCTCTTTAATAACTATTTTTAACTTTTTAGTTTTTAGCTTTTTAAATAGTTTTTAGCTTTTTTTTTTCTTTTTAAAAACTATTTAAAATAACGTTTGAATTTATAACTTTTAGTTTGTGATTTTTTCTTTCGTTTATATTTTTATTATTTTATCAATGAAATTAATTAAGTAGAGAAAATTTAAAATTTTATTATATTTTTATGATAAAATATTAAATAATAAATTTATTTTTATTATCATTTTAAATTAATTTAAACTGAATTTAAATTTCATCTATCTCATTAAATTTTATTATAAAATTTATATATAAATTTAATATATTTTAATAATATCTTAAAGTTTTCAAATATATTAAAATTGTTTTGGATGTCTTTATTAATATTTATTTTTATTAAATAAAAATTAATTTAATAATAATAATAATAATAATATAATATAATATAATAAAATAAATAAATCACAATTTTTTAATGAAAATGTCTTTTTATATAATAGTATTTATGATCTAGAATAATAGCTAATTTATCAAATATTTAAATTATATCATCAATTATAACTTGTTGGTCATTAACTATCAAATATCAGCTATTAATTAATTTTAGCAAACCTATAAAAAAATGAAAGTAGAGTTTGGCTTACCTACCAAAGCGAAAAAAGGGATTGACCGAATCAGTAAGTTATGATTACGAAATAAATAAAAAAGACGATGGCCGAAACAAATCTCTGCATAATAACAATCAAAATATTCTCATACTCTTTCGTTCACCTCAATTCTGTCACTTTCTCTTTCTCTCACACACACTTTACCACGAATCAAATTCATTCATTCGTTCTAAACCTTTCAATCTCCGTCACTCCTCTCTTTCACACCAACTCTTGATTCTTTATTCAGTTTTTTTTTTGCTGCAAAATTTGAACGAGAACGATGATGGATTTTAAGAAATTTTGGACGAAGAACTCGTTGATAAGTCTTGGATTAGGGCAATTTCTTTCTCTTCTTATTACTGCAACTGGTTTCGCTTCTTCTGAATTAGCTAAAAAAGGTACTTCTTTTTTTTTATTTTTTTATTTATTTATTCACTTACACTCCCTTATAATTTACTTTATATTTTATTATTATTGTTTTTCAGTTGCTTTGATGATTGATTTTGGAATTTACGATGGATAGTTATAAGCTCGTTTGAACTTATAGGTTTTTATTCTAAGTAGTTTATAGTTCTTTTTGTTTTTTTTTTTAATTTTAATTTTGCTCGAAATATTTTAGTTGTAATAGATAAATATTAATTATATTTTATAAATTTTATAAAGTTGTGCTACATGTTCAGGAATAAAAAGTAATGTATGGTTGGTTTTTTTAAAGAAGATAAATTGATTTTAGAAATGTAGAGTTGATTTTGTGTATAATTTAACTTTTTGAAGTGTTAAAAGCAATTCTAAAGCTGGAAAATTGATTTTGGAATGATTGAGCATTTTTAAATTGACTTTTGGAAGATTCAAAATTAGTTTTAGAGGTGTAGAATTGATTCTTGGTAATTTTGAAGTGTTTGTTTATATCAAAAGTAGAATTGATTCTGCCTCCAGAATTGATTCTAGTTGAAGCTAGAACTTGTAGCTTCTACCTCTAGAATTGATTTTGAGTGGTTTTTAAAATTTATTGTTCTACTCACTTTTACATAAATATATTTAAACATAAATCAATTCTGTTAAACTCAATTCTGCTAAAATCAATTATGTTAAAATCAATTCTGTTAAAATCAATTCTACGAAACTCAATTCTGTTAAAAATCAATTATATTCACCGCCAATCCAAACGCACCCTTTGAAGTGTTTGATTCTTTTAAAGTTATTGATGCAGCCTTTAAAATTGATTCAACTTGAAATTTGAAGTTAGGATTTGTAGCTTTTAAGTTTAAAAGTGATTGAAATTTATTCTTTAAACTCATTTCTATCTAAAATTATCCAAACGTTAATCACTTTTTAAGTTGTTGGATGCACTTGTAATTAGAATCAATTTTAAAAAATCAATTAATTTAAAACCAGTTCAACCAAACACAAAAAAAGCAGTTTTAAAATTTTGTTGAATACACAACTTCCAAAACAATGTTACAATTTTTCTTTATTATATCATTTTATATTTATAAGCTATAATTTAACTTATCTTGTAAATTTTTCTTACCAAACAGAACTTACAGTGCGGTTTTGTTCGACTTTGAATTTAAATTTAAAACTTGTATGTCTCTAATTGTTATTAATTAATTTTTTCTAATACAATTTGTAATGTACTTGTATTTTGATTATGGTAGGAATTAATGCTCCAACTTCACAGTCGTTTCTGAATTATGTATTCTTGGTGATTGTCTATGGAAGTATTCTACTCTACAGAAGACAACCTCTCAAGGTTATATTCTATACACACTGATTAATCTTGTTTCAGACCCGGTTTGAATAAACATCTATTTATTTTGCTTATCATATAAGTGCTTATAAGTTATAACATAAGAATTATGTATAGCTATTTTTATAGTAAAAGAAGAAGTAAAAGTCAAACTGTTTTCATATGTTATGATATCATAGAGAGATTGTAAAAATAAGCCAAAAACAACTACGAACATTTTCATAGGCTCTCACAATAGTCTCTTAAATGCTTATGAAAGTAGATAAACTCAAATAAGTTACTCCATACACAGCTTAGTTCTCAACTGGATTTTATTATTTGCAAAAGAGGGTGTAGCAAACTTAGACGCTAATGTTATTTCTGCTATGTCAACCATTTAAAAACAATTTCATTAACTTCGTATGGTTCTAATACAGGCAAAATGGTATTATTATATACTTCTTGGATTGGTTGATGTGGAAGCAAATTTTCTTAGTAAGTATTTTTTATGTGCAAAACTAACTGATAAGCTAGGTGTTTATGGAAAAGTTGAGGATGTTGTTCCAAAAAAGTTGAAGTGAATAAATTGATTTCAATTAACTTATGAGAGATGCTATCATAGTTATAACACTCATAATCAATTCAAATTGTTAAGAAGTTTATCCAAACTATAGCTTTATGTCTTACTTTCAATGATTAACAGAACAATTTTCACCTTATGAACAGTTGTGAAGGCATATCAATACACCTCACTTACAAGTGTGATGCTACTTGACTGCTGGTCCATTCCATGTGTCATGCTTCTGACATGGATTTTCTTGAAAGCAAAATATAGATACAAGAAGATAACTGGTGTAATTGTTTGCATCGCTGGACTTGTTCTGGTTGTATTTTCAGATGTTCACGCAGGTGACAATGCAGGTAAGTGGCTTTATATCTATACTTAAAAACTCATGTGTGCGTATGTGCATGAGTGCACTGTCAATACCTTTACTCTTGGAAATCATGCAACAAGTGGAATTTGATCCTATCTTTTGTCTGATAACGTCGTATTCGCATATCATAGGTGGAAGTAATCCTCGTAAAGGGGACATTCTTGTTATCGCTGGTGCTACCTTGTATGCATTCAGTAATGTCAGTGAGGTAAGCTGATAGTAGATTTCGAAAGTTTGATTAATCTAAAACGATACATGCGAATAATTTGATTCCGGCTTTCTAACATTAAAAAATTACTATGTCTCATTCTTATAATCTCCCTCATATTAATATCCATTGCAGGAGTTTTTAGTAAAAAATGCCGATAGAGAAGAGCTCATGGCAATGTTAGGTCTCTTTGGTGGCATCATCAGTGCCATTCAAATGTATCCTTGAAGTTGATTATATAATGACGACTTTTGCCATTTTTTGTTACTTTTCTTTTTCATATTGTAGCCTTAATGATTATTACAGAACTGTACTCGAGCGCAATGAACTTAAATCTATTCATTGGTCAGCTGGGGCCGTAAGTTATCTTCATCACTCTCACTATAATTGTGTAATTTACAGAATTTCTCTTTAACTAAAATGCCTTTTGGTGTTGATTACAGGCATTTCCTTTTTTTGGATTTTCGTTGGCTATGTTTTTGTTTTACTCTCTAGTCCCTGTTCTGCTTAAGGTACGGATTCGAACTATAACAATTCTAACGATATAGCTTGGTTTAGCGTAGAAAAAATCCAAGTGTTGTATAAATATTCAACTAGTATATTTAAATGTGCTATGTTATTTTTTGTCACAGATCAATGGTTCTACCATGCTTAATCTGTCTCTTCTGACATCAGACATGTGGTCTGTCTTAATTCGCATTTTCGCTTACCATGAGAAGGTCTGACAGGAACCTCCACTGAAAAATTTCTACTAGTTATGAGTCACAATTTTAATTTACTGACATCTCTTGTGCTAATTATGCTTTGCAGGTTGATTGGATGTACTATCTAGCGTTTGGTACTGTTGTCGCCGGCATTGTTATCTACTCTATGTATGTATTGTTGCACTTTCATTTCATAAACTTCTTGTCTCTGTCGAGAGGTTGTTTCAGGAATTTCCCAAAACGAATGACTTAAAAACTGATTTAGCTAATTCTTTCACGTTATTATGGAATTAACCTCTGATGAATATCAAAATGATCATTAACTACAAATTTAAACTTAAAGTATAGGCTTAGCATTTAGCAGTGTCAATCGTGTTGGCGATTTTTTTCTCATGGTGTTCAATGGTATTGCAGAGGTTACGGAGATGAGGATCAGCACCCTCCTAATGCTGTTGAAGAACCTCTAGCAATCAGTCATGACGAGGAGGCCAGTTCAGCAAATCATAACAAAGGAGCTGTGGCTGGAACCTCAAAAACATGGGTAGCTTAATGAAAGTATAGGCCTAGAGATTCATGGAGGGAAAATCTATGAGGAAGACCCTCGTTCAGAAGTGGGGTATTCGTATTCTAAGTTATTGTTCAATGCTCCTCCAAGAGTGCAATGCAAGAAGCACTCATTTTGCTTTTATTTTCTTTTTCAGCACACTATTTATAGTTGAAATTTATGCTGGTTTTGTCATTGTGGGAATAGGTCTAATTGGATAGAAAATGAAATCCATATGATTTAGTTAGACTTACATGAATTTCAGCGTTCAATTTTTTTTTCTCATTATTTTGTTAGTTTTTCAAAGTTAGTTGCGGTCAGTGTTGTCATGGCTGTCCATGACGGAAAGCCAAAATTCTGCCATACCGAACACTTTGCGGCGCCGTTATAGTAAATTATGACAAATAAACTAACAATACTGGCTGATATTTATTATTGCGGCAAATCCAAAAATTGTCACGTAAATCTGTCATAACGCGTAATCTTAGATATTTGATAACATAATATTTTTCTTCTCTTACATTGTGTCAAGTTTCATTTTTCATAGTTTTCAAACTAGATCTAAGCACTTTTTAGGTCTATTTTAGTTCTGTTACGTCAATTCAATTGATAATTATATAGAGATATCAAATAAAAAATACAGATTCAAACCCAAGAGAGCGCTCTCGTTCATTTTTAAAAACGAGAAATTTTAACCATTAAACTACTAGTTAATCCTGGAATTAATGGAAGGATAAAGTGTTCAATAATTGTTCGTACAATTTAAATAAACAAGACGTGATTTTGCTTCTTATAATAATGCTAAAACCCAAAATGTTACTATTTCAACAAAATGTCAAAAACAGCTTTACTGGTGGGAGCGAATTCATGTACCATCATCTTCATGATTTAGGAAATGCTTCTGCTACAGCCAAGGGTATCAATAATTGATAAATTTCTTCCTATATTAAAAATCTAAAAGATATAATTGATTGATAAATATTTGTTTGTAGTGCTTAAAACCAATCTATATCACATCGAAAATACCTCTAACTTCTTTAACTGTTGTTAAATGTGGTCACTTATTAGGTGAACCTCCAATCCTAACTCAAGGGTTTATTGAACGGGAATAGATCCTCTCCCGTGATAAATTGTTTCAGTGATTTACATTGGACTGTCTCAAGTAAAAGTATTACCGTAGAATCTACGCCCTTATTGAACTAATCAGCAATTTGATACATAGTGTATAACTAGACATGGGAGACACATCATTTATCCACTTAGAATTTTAAAGTTATAGGTGAATAGGTTCTCTCACTTATATGCTTAAGTCTTCATATTCCTATTTAATATTCTTATTTAATGTGAAACTATTTTACTCAGTTACTCACACCACTTGCTATATAATTGAGTGAGTCACAGTCAAGCATATCCAGAAATCCAAAACAGTCACACAAACACTGCAAAATGGCGAACTCACGAGAGCAACCGGCCACCGTCCTCCGCCGCATCATCTCTTCCCCCGGCTGCCACCAAGGTCCTGCCTGCTTCGACGCTCTCAGCGCCAAACTCATCGAATCTGCCGGCTTCTCTTACTGCATCACAAGCGGTTTCTCAATTTCCGCCACCAGATTAGGTCTTCCTGACGCCGGTTTCATCTCGTACGGCGAAATCATCGATCAAGGTCGATTGATTACTCAATCGGTTAAGATTCCTGTTATTGGTGATGGTGATAATGGTTATGGGAATGCTATGAATGTTAAGAGGACTGTTAAGGGTTTTATTGATGCTGGTTTTGCTGGAATCATTCTCGAAGATCAGGTAGTTAATTACTGATTAATTAATAATTAGTTGCGTTAGTTAGTTTGTTAATTAACTTATTTTTGCATTTATCATCTTATCTACTATAATTGTATGGTTCAAAAATAATACTTTACTATAATTGTGCATAATAGATCGGTTCTTTCTGCTATAATTGTCCATATTTAAGCATTGATCAAAATCTATATGAAGCACGGATGGTGGAAACATAGGATAGTGGAAACACGACACCGAGACTCTCATACTATTGAAAAAATGAATAAATTAAACGTAATTGTAATTGTGGATTTCAGACACTGCACGCCTACCTCTCTTAAGATGTGTCGGTGCTATATAAGTCAAAATAGTGTTTCCATTTTGGAAATTTACATATACATATACATAACAAAATTGAAAAATGCCATTCAAAATAGTTTCTCTGTTAGAGGATATGATATGACATGTTAACGGGGAAATGTTGTATTGCATGTTGCTTTAACGTCATTGTTGACTCACTAGAGACTGATTTGTCGATGAAATTTAAACTATCGTGTTGATTAACTTATATTTAACTACAATTGGGAGGGATTGCATTTTTACCAAACTAACCTATGGACTTGTTTGGATCGCCTAATTTGAGGTTGTATAGTTGTATAAGTTTTGCGAGTCTATTAGAAAGAAGTTAAGAAAACAACTTATGATATTGATCATAAGTTCTTTTTCAACATATTTTCATAAATTCTCCAATGTAGTTTATGAAAACATATTATAACATAAATAATAATTGAACTTTATTTTATCTTTTACTATAAAAATAGCTTATAGATAAGTGCTTATCTTGGTAAACGATTGTGCTATAAGTTACATATAAGTTATTTATCCTAGCAGAGTCTATGAGACCTAAATTTCATAAGCATAATCCTTTCTGGTATGGTAACATTGAGCCACTTATTCAATTAATGTGTCATATCATAGTACTTAACTTATTCGTAAAAGTTTATAGAGGGATTATTTTGACCGGTACTTAATAATTTTAGGATGTATTTTTCAATTTGTAAAAATTAATTACTATTTTGATCCATTCTTAGGACAGATCAATTTGCACATTCACTCTTTCTTTTTCTAAATCAAACATTTGACATTCCTCTGCACTACGAATATTGTGAGGAGCCAAATTGATTGATCACTATTACACAATGTGTTGTTAATATTCGTGATGGAAATTAGGTGGCACCGAAAGCATGTGGGCACACGCGCGGGAGGAAAGTGGTTTCTAGAGAGGAGGCAGTTATGAAGATTAAAGCTGCAGTTGATGCTAGAACTGAGAGCGGGTCTGATATTGTGATTGTGGCCCGCAGTGATGCACGCCAAGGCGTGTCTCTTGAAGAAGCGCTTTGGAGGACAAACGCATATGCTGAAGCTGGAGCTGATGTTATCTTTATTGACGCACTTGGTTCCGTTGAAGAGATGAAAGCTTTTTGTCAAGTTGCTCCTCATGTTCCTCATCTGGTACGTGTTTATGTCGTGTAATAAAGTTCTTATTCAACGCTTCATACAAAAAGAAAGAAAAAAAGGGAGCAAATTGAATAATACTCGAAAATAAATGTACATGTTGGTTGACTTGTTATCTTTGTGAATATGTATAGGCGAATATGCTTGAAGGAGGAGGAAAAACACCGATACTTAACGCTCAAGAACTTGATCAAGTTGGTTACAAACTTGCTGTTTATCCACTTTCTTTGATGGGGGTTTCTATCCGAGCAATGCAGGTCACAATCCACATCTCTTCCTATGCTTACCCTTTTATCTTTCGGTTTGAGTATAGTACTATATGACATGCTAAGAGACAGCGATAAACAATTATCAGTGTGAATTGCTGTTTTAAAACACGAGATATGTTTACCTTTTATCAAAAACATCTTTTGAAATTTAACCCCTGGATTACGTTGAACTCTTGATTCTAATATATGCAGCACTGACACTTTGTATTAAAGACACGTTTGGTGTCTGATAGACACTGACGTATGTGATTGGTTACATTCAATTACGTCTAATGGTTTTTTGCATGTTTGTCATATTCTGTAGTCGTGTCTGTCGCGCGGATTTTATGATTAAGAAATTGCTATGACTGAATTTGTAGGGTGCACTCAGTGCCATTAAGGTAGGTGGTATTCCTCCACCGGAAAGCTTGCCATCTTTTGAAGAAATTAAGGAAATTGTTGGTTTCAATGATTATTACAAAGAGGAAGAGCGTTATGCTACAACTACAGATCACTAGCTTTAAGCCTTCAGAGAGAAAAAGAACAAAATTGAGTCAATAAAAACCCTTTTAGAGGGGCGGTTTAGTCTTTTCTTCTAAGAGTAGTATTGTATTGTGTTGTATGTAATGTAATCTAGACATGTTTTTATCTCCTCAACTTTGTGTATCTGGTACAGCATATTAAGATAAATATCTGATCAGTGTTTATCAAAATAAGTTAAGTCCATCTAATAATTCATGCATACTTCTTTAAACAATTAGACTACAAAATGGAGGAAATAAAGTGATTTAGTCCGTCATTACACAATAATTCCAAAAGTTTTATTTGGAGTTGTTATTAAAATTCATGAATTATATTGTATTCATGAGGTTACATTTTGGGTACATGTTCAATTTTATACATGTTTCCCTTCTTTTTGGTTTGCTTTTTTTTGTTTAAAATTAAGTCAGATTTATTATGTTATCAATTGATCATCACGTTGTTTTACTGGGATAGAGTTTCCTTGTTTTTCTTCTATCTCTATTTTTTCATTTTACCTATATATATTTATTGATGATACACGTGCTTTATCAAATGGTCTTTTAAACTTGCTAGAGGAAAGAAATATCTCTAAGATCTTGTGAATTTGTTTTTAGAAGTCATATGCGCATTGTATAGGTTTGGGTAGAAACAGGTGGAAATGAATTAGGCTTTGTCAAATCTAAGTATACCGTGTGTTTATTTTTAAGAATGAGTCTGGTATTTTTGAAGGTTTTGGTTGACTTATTAGTTAACTTAAAAATTTATTTCTTTTAAGATAAAATTACTTTCAGGTCCTTTAATTTATTTAATTGTAACAAGTCAGTTTTTTATGTTTTTTTTCGCTACATGTGAGTCTTTTAGGTTAATTAACGTCTGCACCGTTGATCTTTTTTTCAAATTTCGTTCCAAAAAAGTTGAAGTGATACTAATGGTACTGATATGTCACTTAACATAGGTCAGAGACCATTATTAGATCATATATTAAAATTTTCAGAGTTTTTTAGTGTATACATTTTTTTTGTTGAGAAAATATAGAATATATTAACCAAAAAACAATCAGTACAAGGTGATCATATAAGATCCAACCCTCCAAGAGACAAAACAAAAATCAACTCAACTAGCTTCTTCCTCACTTTTGGGATGGACACCCCTATAGACTAAATTCTCTATCACTAATTTTCCTATATCATTATTTATATGGATCCCAAAACTTCTCTTGTTCTTATAATTCCATGCTTCATAAACAGTCTCGGGTAAAGCACTCCTTAGAAGCATGGCTTTCCATCCTTTGTCGCTCCCATGACTAATCATCCACGCAAGCTCCTGCTGTCACCCACTACGGGTGTGCACAACATTTATCCATTGAAGAACAACAGTCCAAAAATGCTGCAGCCCTGCACAGTCCAAAAATGCTCCAAAGTTTCAATTTGATTGCAGAAGACACAACAATTTGTGTTCATCATTCCAAACCTGCAAAGTCTTTTCTTAGTGGCTAATTTATTATGGCAAGCTAACCATAACATGAAAATGACATGAGGCCTAGCAAAGTTCCTATACATCAAATGTCTCTAAGGAATTGGGCAGGATCCATGTAACATGTTTATAAACTTTCCCGGTGTTAAATCGGTTAGCCATAGAGTCCCAATCATTCATACTCTCCACTCTGTCACGTTGCTTTAAGATGGCCTTGAAAATCCATGAGAACGAAGGCTTGGTTTGGAGTTGCATCAGCTGTTCAGACTTGATGTAATACGAATGCTTCCATTTTATCCAAAGGGACTCTGCATTCCCACTAAGATTCCACAGCAGCTTGAGCATAAAGACCGTATTCCAATCCTCCAGGGAAGCAGCATTAAGACCCCCTTGGTCTTTAGGCTTACAAACTTGTTACCAGGCCACAGGGGATTTCCTTGTAGCACCATCGTTGCCACTCCACATGAACGCACGACAGATAGCATCAATTTTTTTATCCCTTTCTTAGGCAGGGGGAGACACTGAGTCCAATACTGGGTCATAGACCTGGCTACGCTGTTAATGAGCTGCAACCTGCCAGAGTAGCTTAAGAATTTGGAGCTCCAATGGTGGATTCGCGCAACTACTTTGTCCACTAGGCACATATAGTGTTGCACAACAAGTCTTCTACTAGATAGGGGGATACCCAAGTACTTAAAAGGCAGGACCCCTTCTGGAAAGTTAGTTATCCCAAGAATGTCCAATTTACTTCCACCATCAACACCACCAAAATAAAATTTACATTTCATAGGGCTGATCTGCAATCCAGTACTCCTAGTGAACTCTTGCATTTTTCCTATAGCCAGCTTGACAGAAGTAGCATCTCCCCGTGTGAATATCAGCAGGTCATCAGCAAAACTCAGATTTATGATCTTCATCTTTTCACACTTAGCATGTAAATTGAAATCAGGGACTTTGTGCAGCTGCTGTATACATCTGTTTAGGTACTCCATCACAATTACAAACAACAAGGGGATATGGGGTCATCTTGCCTAAGTCCTCGCTTAGCTTGCATAATAGAAGTAATCTCCCCTGCAATGTTGAACTTGTAGGAAATAGAGGTAACAGCTCTCATAATCGATGACCTAAATCTGTTAGGTATGCCAATCTCCTGCAGAATCTGCTCAAGGGCATGCCAGTCCAGGGTGTCATAGGCCTTATGTATGTCCAGTTGAAGCAAGCATCTAGGTGTACCATTTATCCTACTGTAACCTCTTATCAATTCATACGCTAATAGAATATGATCATGAATTCTTTATCCAGAGATGAAGGCTTCCTGACTGGGATGGATAATACTACTCAAGATGCTGGCTAATCTTCTAGTAAGGATCTTTGATATAATCTTGTAAATTGTAGTGCAGCAGGAAATAGGCCTGTAATCTTTAATAGTTTTTGCAGCATTACTTTTAGGAACTAGGGTAACTAGGGTACAGTTAATGGCCCTATACATGTATCCCTCTTCAAAGAACTCCAGAACAGCTTCCGCAACATCCTGCTTTACAATATTCCAAGAAGCTTTGAAAAATTTGGCACCAAAGCCATCAATTCCAGGAGCTTTTAGGTCTCCTATACCCTTTAATGCTTCCTCAATTTCTGCAGCAGACACAGTAGCTTCCAGTTTAAGCCTTTGCTCATTTGAAACCAGAGGGCCCTCTCTCATGGCTACTACATTGATACCTTGCAGGCATTGGTCAGCTCTCCCCATCAGATTGCCATACAGCTCCAATACCTCCTTTTCAATATCAGCTTTGGTAGTTAACAGAGTACCATCCTCAGCATAGAGTCTCTTCATACCAGCCTGTTTCTGTTTAGCTTTTACATAAGCATGAAAGAACCTATTATTTCCATTGCCCAGCCTCAACCAGTTAATTTTAGATCTTTGTTGCAACATTTGTTCTTCAGTTTCACTATATTTAATCACTACTTCAGTGCACACCTTAACAGCCATGATACAGTTAACATTCAATTTGTCCTGCACAAGAGCATTTTGAGCCTCTAGAAGACCAGCCCTGGCTTTCCTAAGGTCCACATGAGTGCCCATCAGAGGTTTATTCATCTGAATAACCACAGGTTTCAGCCTCTACAGCTTCTTCCACAATCTCACCATAGGTCTATGTCCCATGGCCTGATGCCAACTTCTATCAATTATAGCCTAATAACCATCCAAGTAAATAGCAGAATTAATGAACTTGAAATTATGCTTCTTCTCCTGGGATTGGCACAATGCAGGAAGAAATTAAAGAAAAATAGTAAAACAGAAAATAAAATTTCCAGAAAATTACACAAAGTGTAAAATGAGAAGAAATGTTTTTAGGAATTTTTTCATAATTTTTGGATCAAAAACGGATTTAATATGAATTTTAGAAGTTACAATAAAATTAATAAAACAAAATAAAGCAGAAAAAAGGTCAATGATACAGACGTTAGTTAACATAAATGACCCACATGTAACGAAAAAATATAAAGGATTGACTTGTTACAATTAAATAACTTAAAGGACCCTGAAGATAATTTTGCCTTCTTTTAAATATATGTAAATAAGTAATTAAATTAGTGTTCTAAATAGACTAAAAAAATAAAAGATCATTGAGATTAAATATTTGTTTGCACAGACTTATCTGAACTTACCTAATATATATTATTGTTATATTGTTTGTTTGAGAAAACTTATGAAAACAATTGTATTGGTATATTCATAAAAGGACATTGAGAGGCGACGATGATATCTCTAGTTGCCCATTTATCAGACAAACTTCCCCTTTATTGAATGTGTCTCCCCTTTATTGAACGAGTCTCCATTTTGTTAGATGTATCGACATTCTCTCAGTTTAATCGCCTAAGCACGGAAATGGGTGACGTGTCCTTCCCATGTAACAACACAAAAGGAGTCATGATAGAGGTAAATCACACTCCCCTTAGTAGTAGGAGGGAAACTGTCCATTTAATGAGCAGTTGCTATTTTTAAAGAGGTCTAAGATCCAAGCCCATGATGGATAGAAATATCCCATCAATGTGGGTGAGAATGATTGAACTAAGAACAAAGAAATACGTATATACAAGAGCATCTCACCAAACGTGAACTACCCTTCAATCCTGCAACAACCTTAAAACCTCTGACACCCTTAATACATAGGGGTTGTCACGTATTTTTACTTTTACCAAATACAATTGGTGCCCATCGTAAGCCTATGGTAAAAATAACTTGGTCCACCATCATAAGATTCAATCAAATTATTGTCTTCGAGTTCATCCCCTTTGTCTATCACGGAGAACAAGAAGACATTGACTCCGACCAGTGAGGAATCTTACGTCGAGGAAAGTGTTATAGGAGAGATGCATGTTGTTTTGGATGATCTTCATCACCAAAATCAAACCTTGGGAGATAACGTCCTTCATATTCAGCAACCCCCGCAGAAGACAAACACGGGATAAATTACAGGTATTGGATCATCAACCTCTATTAGATGAGATATGGGAGGCACCA